GGTAAACACACCTCCGCCGGAGGTACACACACCTCCCCCGGAGGTAAACACACCTCCGCCGGAGGTACACACACCTCCCCCGGAGGTAAACACACCTCCGCCAAATACACTGGCCACAATTACTAAATTATCATGTTGTTGTACACATACCTAGATATATCATCATGCATAGTAAAGACTATCAACAAATCAAGTTCACATCACAGGCTTCCATAACCTAATGCGAACACATAAATAGAAACTACTCCATCACAACCTTTTCACTGCACAAAAGTCAACTAGCAAAGCAAAGGTGTATACAAGAGACAAGTTGCAAATTCAGTCTCTCCAACACTCCTTACCCCCCTCTTCCCCCCCCCCCTCATTTGGGCAACCGCCCACTTTCTCTCATCATTACACATAACCCTGTCAGTCTTATAGCCGTACATGAGCATATAACCTGTCACAGCGCGACAGTTTCACAATCACTACGATCCTCACCCAAGCATCCTTACAGCCTACATGCGTACATTACCTCTAAAAAATTATACACCTCCACCCTCTAATATGTGTGTGATGGTAAGTGACCAAGCAAGTGCAAAGCCATATATACGTAGAGAGTAATGTAGTCATCATCCCGTGAGACACGTATGCAAAAGTATAAACCGATAATCCCCACACCCAAACTGGATGGCACTTTTATTCCGGCTGTCATCACCCTTGCATCCCAACACCTACTAACCACACTGAATCATCCCTTGTTCACGTCTAAGTCCATCGCCCCCCCTCCCCCTCACACACACACACACACAGGAGCTAGGACTCGACCCCTGCAACCACAAATAGGTGAGTACACACAGATTAAGGGAAATCGGCCTGACGACACTGGAGGACAGGAGGATCAGGGGAGACATGATAACGACATACAAAATACTGCGTGGAATAGACAAGGTGGACAAAGACAGGATGTTCCAGGGAGGGGGCACAGAAACAAGAGGCCACAATTATAAGTTGAAGACACAAATGAGTCAGAGAGATATTAGGAAGTATTTCTTCAGTCATAGAGTTGTCAGGCAGTGGAATAGCCTAGAAAATGACGTAGTGGAGGCAGGAACCATACACAGTTTTAAGACTAGGTTTGATAAAGCTCATGGAGCGGGGAGAAAGAGGGCCCAGTAGCAACCGATGAAGAGGCGGGGCCAGGAGCTAAGACTCGACCCCTGCAACCACAAATAGGTGAGTACACACACACACACACACACACACACACACACACACACACACACACACACACACACACACACACACTCAATCACTCTCACACTCTCACACTCTCACACTCTCACACACACACACCCAGCGGCGAGCCCACTGGAACCCCGGTTGACAGTCCCAATCCATGCCCCAGCCATGACAACCCCCCCACTACAAAGCTAGTAAGATCGCAACAGTTAAACCACGATAACCTGTGGGGAAGGCTCCCTCGCACCGCGATCCATATATTTCCCTATTCCTGCAAACCGTCCTATAGAAAGTAGCTGCCATTACCTGTTTCCTCACAACCCAATCCCCATTCCCACGCATACCCCACGACACGTACACAAAATCTACCATTAAATATGCCAATGCTCGTTGCGTACTCTCTGGCACCCCTCCCACATCCAAAACGAGCGCTCTCAACACCGGTATGCCCCCCCCTCCCACTCGTCTCACTAGCCTACTCATCCAATCCCAAACATTCGCAAAAATACACCGCATGATATGCCGTATCCTCTCCACCACACACCCCACACCCACTCTCCTCTACTACTCATCTCACCCAAAGAACTGCTTTTGATGGCAAAATGCCATGCAGGAAATGGAACATAACCTCCCGCACCCGAGGCCTGAGCTTCAACTTACGAAAACTACACCAAATATCTCCCCATCCATACATGGGGTATATTTCCTCCACCGGCACCACCACCCGGCTCCCAATCACTCTCGCCAAAACCCCCACGTGGATCTTGCCAGGCTCCCGTAGGACCATGAGGGTATGCAGCAGCACCTCACATTCCCTCAACTCTGCACCCACATACCACCTCTTCACTCCCTCATACAGAAGCTTTAACCCCCCACACCCCACGACTCGTACATACTCCCTTCATAAGTAAACACATTTTACCCAACGCCGCAGATCCAATAACCCTAACCCCCCCCTGACGTTCAGGCAGCATTACTATCTCCCTCCTCAGCCAATCACACCCAGAACCCCATATAAACTTATACACCCTCTTTAAGATACTCGTAATTCCTTTCCCGTTATGGGGTAAACTGCTGCCATGTGCCAAACCTTACTGTATAGTAACGTGTTTACCACGATGGCCCTCTGCAACAATGTCAAATGGTATGGTCGCAAACTCCCCAATCTATGCTGCATCCGTTCCACAATACGCTCGGAGTTCCTCTCTCGACAGCACTTGATCCTCCATAACACTATGCCACATATCTTTAAGCTATCTACTACCCTCCACTCCACACCAGCATCCCAATCTCCATGCCAGTTCCAATTTCCTAGCTGTAGTAAGCATGATTTCTCCACATTGACCCTCATCCCTGTAGCCTCCCCAAAAGTACAAATGACCTCTCCCACCCCTCTCAAACTCTTCCCCTCCCGCGCGAGTACCGTCGTGTCGTCAACATATTCTACGATCCCTGGCTCACACCCCACCTCCCCTATCCACCCCCCCAGATACATGCCTCAATGAGTCTATAATTGGGTCCTGAACACAGGCAAACAGAATTTGAGAAAGTGGACATCCTTGCCTGAAGCCCCGCCCCATACGTACCGCCTCCCCTATATGACCATTGATTTGCACATGCACCCGTGCCCCTCGATACAATGTCTCCACCCATTTCGCAACTTCCTCCCCAAATCCCAGCTTGAGAAGGATCCACCGCAATGCTTCCCATTCCACACGGTCATATGCTCCCTGCCAATCCAAAGCAAGTAAGCCATCCCCTTTTCTCCCCAAACCCTCCACAAACCCCCTAAGACGTTCGTGGCCCTCGACCATAATCTGCCAGGCAACCCATATTGCCCTCCCGATACGACACGCCCCACGACGCATTTCAGGTGATTACCCAGTATTTTTTCAAACAATTTATAATCCACACATAGTAAAGAAATCGCCTGATAATCCTTTAGGGTATTCTGGACCTCTCCCTTCGGGACCAGAACAACTACCGCTGTGGCTTGTAATTCCCCAAACATCCCCTTCTCCTTCATGATATTCATTAACTCCACCAGAAATCCACTCAACTTCCAATTCTGCAGGTAAAATTCACAGGGCAATCCATCTATCCCCGGAGTCTTTCCTGTATGCATGCTCACCAATGCCCGCTAAACCTCGCCCTCAACTATCTCCCCACCCAGCGCTACTTGATCACTACGCCCCAATGAACATGGCACTAGCTCACAGACACTACGCAAAGCCTCACCTCCCACTCCACTACTCCCCAAATACTGCTCATACCATGCATCCGCATAACCACTCATCCCCTCTGTCGTCCGCAACACTTGCCCCTCCCGATAACCCTCCACTTCAGAGTGGACGACTAACCTACCAACCTCAGTGGCTTTCTGATGGTGCTGCTGACCCCGTAAAGCACACGCCAATGGTCGATCGCTCCACAACACCTCCTCAACCCCCCCCCTGCACACACACTGCATTAAACTGTTCATTTTGCAGCTCACGAATCCTTCCCTTCAACGTTTCTATCTCCTCCACAGGATATACTCCCCCATGTCCACCTCTTCCGTAGCAATCCCTCAACCTACCCTCTAGGTACTGAAGGAGCCAATACGATTGTTGCATTATGCGTTTCCCTTCCCTCATAAAACTGACGTATTCGTCCCTTAGCCACCCCATCCCACCACCCCAGCAAATCCTCTACACCCCGCCTTTCCTCACTGAGCTCTGCCTACAACGCCTCGAAGCCTCCCTGCCCCTCCTCATCACCTAAAATCCTCGTATTTAGTTTCCAATAGCTCTTGCACCTCCTGGCCAGCCCATCCCACCCCAGTCAACCACAACCGCCCTATGATCAGAATATTCCACTTCCACCGTCCGCGAGGACTCTACTCTCACCTGCATTGTGACGTACACCCGATCTAGCCTCGCCGCATATCTATGTCTAACTAAAGTGTGCTCCACCTCCCAAGCCCCACCCCCAAATACGTCACGGGGAGACACATCTCTCAGAAGACCACCTAGGATAGTTGAAAAATGCCCCACCCCACGAGGCTCAACGTCTGCCCTGCGAATAACACAATTCCAATCCCCCCCCACGATAGCAACAGCTGGTAAAGAGCGGAAATAATAAACGAGCTCATCCCTCACGAAATCTGCTTTCAGATGTGCATCACTCTCCGCGGGTGCATACACACACACAAACGCCACTCGCTCGCCCATCCACCATCCATCCACTCTTATAATACGCCCCTCACCCCCCCTTCACTTATACTAACCACAAATGGGCTCGCCTCCCGGAGTAGGACTCCCACCTCTCCCTTCAGGCGCCCTGTCTGCATCACAAAAGCCCTATATCCATCCACCTCCAATACACGCCCCACCTTGATATTGTGCTCTTGCACAAAAACGACATCCACTCTATGCCGGCACAAGAAACTTGCAAACCACGCACGCTTCACATCCTGACACAAACCATTAATGTTAACTGTCATACACCTTAGGCCAGCGGTGATTTCTTCTCCCTGTGCTTTGACACCTTCACAACGCCACCATGTCCCTTCGGACCTCCTTTACGCATGTGTCTACTGGCGGCCCTGACCCCTCCCCGGTCCAGCTCCCGGTCTGAAGTCCCCGAGGGACCACCACCATCTTCTTCCACCACCACTACCTTGCTGGTTCTCTGTGCTGGAGTCAGGACATCAGGTACACACGTTGCACATGTGTGTAATTCATTATCTTTACGAAACACAGTAACTCTCACATCTCTTCACTCTGTCTCCTCTACAGTTCTCAGCCATGGGTTTTTCACTGTGTCTTCTCGTCACCACGGTGGTGGCATCCGTCGCTCTCTCCAGCGCTGATAAAACTCCTCAACGACCTCTTTATCGGACTCTCAGGTCGTTCCAGAACTTCAGAAATGACTTTTCCTCCAGCCCTGGAGGCAGATATATGTGAGTAACTGTGGCAATGGCTCTTGGAGTTCCCTGCCCTTTTTTTTTCAACATTTCAACATATTTCTTATTAGAAATGAAATGAAAATATTGAGTTTGTTTCCATTCAGGTTAATTCACAAACTGGCAACTGTAAAATTCTTTGTGGCATTCAGGTTAATTCACAATAATTGTATCAACTGTGAAATTCCGATACATTCAGGTTAATTTAGTCATTGTGGCAACTGTGAAATTCTTTGAGTGAATCAGGTTAATGTACAATCGTTATTATAAGTGTAGAGTGACAGGATAAGGTGTGTAAACATTCAAGATTCTTGTGATTGTTACCCCGGTGAATGACTCGGTTATTGAGTTATTTTTGAGTCAGAGGTAACAGCGGTCTCGCTTATCCTCAGTAACACTCGTTTGTCGCTCCTCAGTTTCGTGTATCACGTTGGAGACAGTGAACGCCATGAGGAACGCAACGAGGAAGGTGAAGTGCGAGGTCGGTACTCCTTCGTGGCTCCAGAGGGAGATGAATACCAGTTTAAGTATGATGCTGATGCTGACGGGTACCGCGTGGAGAGTGACGCCCTTCCCTCCGCTCCTGAAGACACTGACGACGTCAAGAGGGCCAAGAAGGAGTTCTTCGAGGCCTACCAGAAGGCCCTCGAACTCGCCGAAGACGACGACTACGAGTACTCCGAGGAGAGCCATGAGGAATCCGATGAGGAAGAGTCGAGCGAGGAATCCGACGAGGACTTAGAAGACGATTCAGAGGAGGAAAGTCAAAGACACTTCCAGGGAGTTCCAAACTTTGGATTCCGTTACCCTTACTCTTTCAGCGGGAAATAGAACCTTCGTCAGCACGACGAAACCACAGGACGAGTCTCCTAGTTAGCTTTCTCCTAGACAGCCTTACGCCTCTACCTAGCCATCCCATGACAGTCTTCTAGCGATCAACATGAGTTTTTACCCCTAGCCAGCATCTCGCCACACCCATCATAGCCAGCGCTGCTTCAGTCCCTCTGTCCTTCAAGGGAAAACCGGGCAAAACAAACAACAGTTTCGAAACCGGTATAAACCTTGGCAATCAATATCGACAAATTGGTTTATAAAGACATGTAAACAAAAACTAGGACATAGAAAACGGTTTCGGTCCTGGGACTTTTAGTGATCAGGGTCCCAGGACCGAAACATTTTGTAATATGTCATGGTGTTTGTTTACGTGTCTTTTTAAACCAAATTCCACACTGCACCTCGGTAAACCATCACGTCTCGGATAAAAGAACACAACTGCAACTAATGTGACATTTTACTGTGGCAACGTTTCGCTCTCCGGGAGCTTTGTCAAGCCATTCACTCCTGGAGAGCGAAACGTTGCCACAATAAAACATCGCAGTAATTGCAAATGTGTCCTTTTACCTAAGATATTGTGGGTAATTCAACCAACATTATTACACCACGTCTCGGTATTTAAAAAAAAAATCAAGGCTAAGGAAAAGATCCCCCAAATGACTATCTTTATGGATTCACCTCGTATCCTGTAGCTTATAAAACAGTGTATATGTTTGTGTGTGTGTGTGTGTGTTTTATATATATATTTATATATATTATTTATTTGATGTCTCTTTCTAGTCCAGTATCGATTAATTTGAGAAAACACTTGATTTCGGGTAGGTCTCTTGATCCAAGGAATAATAGCTATGGTTTCCTTGAATCAAGCCTCATCACCTTCCCTTGTCCCAAGCGTTAAACCCCGTACAGATTTAACGCTTATTCATATATTTTAAACATAATTTTGTAGAAAATATCTCTTAGCTTAGCGAAAGCTCAATATTTAATATATTTTAGAGATATTTATGAAAGTCAATATATTTTGCTATTATATGAATCGTATGAGACTGCCATTACCGTATGAATGTAGTGATGGATGAGTGTGTTCGTATGTATTGTTGGATGACAGAGTATGTAACTCTTGAAGGTTGAAAGTCTTTTCATATGTTGTACACAATTGCTTTTGTATTATATATAAATGCAATATTTGTCTTTTGATTTTCCTTGTGTATTGGCCTTTTCCCACCGAGGCAGGGTGACCCAGAAAGAAAGAAAAACCCATAAAAGAAAGAAAAAACTTTTATTCAATACTTTCACCATCATTCATACATAATCATATATATATATATATATATATATATATATATATATATATATATATATATATATATATATATATATATATATAATAATATATAAATAGGGAAGTACCACCTCTATAGCTGGACTGGGGACCCTCATCCTCAGAGAAGACAATAAACGTACCTCAGGGAAAACTCAAGGTTCTCACCGGAGATGTTTGAATATTTTCTTCTCCTACCACCCCCTATATATTTTACATTCTTTGTGAACATTTATAAATAGAATAAAATTACAGAAAAACATAAACATGAATACAATGGTACAATGTATTAAAGATCATGAATTTCCTCCAGCTCCTCCGAAACCGGACGCGAGCCAAGTATGCAGCAAGCATTTTCCCTCTGGATGGCCACGCTGAGGCGCTGGAATATGAAAGTGGCTGCCCTTGGGTCCCTGATGGTGTCGATGAGTCTGGAACCCAATTCTTTAAGGAAACGTGTGGCATTTTTTCCCCATGATCCTAAGGTCTCTGCTCCCACTGGGACAAACTGATACTGTTGGCTTATGTCCCTGTACTTGCTGATCTTGTACTCCTCCCTGTGGTCAGCAGCTCCTCCCTGTCGTCCAACACTGTGATGGATATTGGTGTCAGCCAGTGTGGACACAGGTATAGTCCCATATAATATAAATTAATGTAGATAAATTATTGATACGAACTAGAAGGAAGGATAGAGAACAGCCCAAAGCTCAGCAATCACCGAGACTGATAGGTTCACCACTATCACATATAATACTCCCCAGAGGATGTCATGAGATGAGAGAGGCAATAGAAAACTGAAGAGGAATCAGCACTTTACGGAAAGGCAGCAACGGAGGTTTGTAGACTGGAAGACCTGTACCTACCCTCAGGTTCTTTTGTACCCATGAAATCGTTGTGTATCATGAAGGTTGAACCTGCAGATGTTAAACATGTGCAAAACGTGATGAAGGCTCTGTCCTTTGTCTTTTAATGGCCTGGTCTCTGATCTGCCAGGCTGTTTGTGACTCGAAATTCTTGAAGGGTTTGTTGCTAGTGCTGAATTACTCTTTCAAATTATTCCTGTACCGCCAATCAAGTCTGTACCGAGTCAGGATATTATAGGAGAGTACAGACAGGAGGCACGTCTGTCTCGAACTTGGGAGACGGAGGATGAAGCCTCCAACACGTCTTGCGCTGAATGACCTACATTGGTTTAGTGCTTAAAATTAATATTGAACTGTATCAGAAGACCAAGGGACGATTGCAAGAGTTCATTGCTCTTCGTTGCCTATAGAAAATTAAGACCATAGGTGTGAGGCAGGGGCTTTAGACGATGCAGCAAGGCGGAGGCTGGAGTCAGTGGAGATGTCATCTTTGATAAGTGTGTAGTGTGAATATTATGTAGAGAATTCGGAGCGTAGAAGACAGTGTGGTTACCAGAGATATGCTCAGAGGGTTGAGGAAGATTTTTGCGGTTCGAACATTTAGTGGAGCAGAATATGATGTCGAGGAGAGTATGTAAATTGGGGGCTTATATATCTCCGTTTCTCCAACTTAGGAAGGGTAGAGGTTTTGAGTGCTGGTGGCATGAGCATCCAGCAGGCTTGCCTGAGCATGTTAGGGTGGAAGCGAATGGAGAATGAATAATTTTCATGAATTAACGTGCTGTTGGAGTATGATTAGTGAAGCATTTATGGAAAGATTCAGAGAAACCGGCTATCAGAACTCGTCTTGTGGAGGTGGGAAGTACAGTGCTACTCTCTGATGGAAGGCTGGGCTTGTAGCAGTTCAGAGGGTTGCAGGGGACGCATTTTCTCCCTCCTGTAATATACCTGTGAATGGCTTCGAGAGTGCCTGATGCCAGGCTTTCTTATTGACCGCTTGATCAACCAGACTGTAGTTGGCAGCAAACCAATAATCCCACCCAACTCTAACAACCTGACTGAAGAACACAACACAGCCAAAACTCGGTATAAGAGAGCTCTCGATCCCCAGAAACTGAAGCTGCCATTCCCTTGGATCAAATCTAATTACCTACCATCTCCCCAGGCCCAATATCACCCCCTATCATTCTTGCAAAAAGCAGTTCTCTCCCCACGAAACTTCACCCCGCCAGGTGTGTCGAAATTCGACCGAGGAATGCGCATTTATTTCTCAAATCGACCACTTCCAAGGAGTCGATCACCTTGGTCGACCCAGTAGACCCCAAAAAAATATATGCCTCTGACCTATGCTCAAAAATTACTCCCGGGAAAATCTTACATTTGACACCTATTATTTCTTTGCTCGCTGCTGTTAATTTTACTTTCGGTTTTAAAAGGGAATATTGATTTTCTGACATAACAAAAAAAGGCACAATACCGTAACTGGAACGATAAACAAATAACCCGCACATAAGAGAGAAGCAAGTTACGACGACGTCTCGATAGGGATGCCCGGGTGTTGCGCATGTCTTAATTTCATCTTGTCGGTATTACATACTATTCTTGTACTACTACTACTACTACCACCACTACTACTACTACTACCACTACTACCACCACTACTACTACTACTACCACTACTACCACCACTACTACTACTACCACTACTACCACCACTACTACTACTACTACTACTACTACCACTACTACCACTACTACTACTACTACTACTACTACTACTACCACCACCACCACCTCTTCCTGCCTATATATAGCCGTCCTGCTCCACTTCTGGTTAGTGTGACTTTGTCAATGGTCCAAGTCTGACCGAAACGTCGTCGTAAGCTTCTCTTTTATGTGCGGGTTATTTGTGTTTCTGACAGAAGTTGTGTTTTTAGCAATGACAGGTCTCTTGATGAGGAGAGGGAGGGTTCTTGATTCAGGTGATGGGGTCTTGATTCAAGAAGTGGGGGTCTTGATTCAAGTGAAGAGATCTTGCTTCAAGATCATCATCTTGGCTCACTTTAAGTGATCTTGGTTCAAAGATTTGGAGCTTTACTGAATTCCCCAAGGCTCCGATGCACTCGTAAGAATTTAGCGCTTTCCTATGATCATACTGCTACTATCATTATTCTACTCCTGCTATTACTTATTACTATTTTTACTATTACTACTAGTATTACTAAAAATACTGCTAGTAATACTGGTAGTATTACTAGTACTAGTATTACTAGTACTAGTATTACTAGTACTAGTACTACTAGTATTACTAGTACTAGTATTACTAGTACTAGTACTACTAGTATTACTAGTACTAGTATTACTAGTACTAGTACTACTAGTATTACTAGTACTAGTATTACTAGTACTAGTATTACTAGTACTAGTACTACTAGTATTACTAGTACTAGTATTACTAGTACTAGTATTTACTAGTACTAGTATTACTAGTACTAGTATTACTAGTACTAGTATTACTAGTACTACTAGTACTAGTACTACTAGTATTACTAGTACTAGTACTACTAGTATTACTAGTACTAGTACTACTAGTATTACTAGTACTAGTACTACTAGTATTACTAGTACTAGTACTACTAGTATTACTAGTACTAGTACTACTAGTATTACTAGTACTAGTACTACTAGTATTACTAGTACTAGTACTACTAGTATTACTAGTACTAGTACTACTAGTATTACTAGTACTAGTATTACTAGTACTAGTACTACTAGTATTACTAGTACTAGTACTACTAGTATTACTAGTACTAGTACTACTAGTATTACTAGTACTAGTACTACTAGTATTACTAGTACTAGTACTACTAGTATTACTAGTACTAGTACTACTAGTAGTACTAGTACTACTAGTAGTACTAGTACTACTAGTATTACTAGTACTAGTACTACTAGTAGTAATAGTACTACTAGTATTACTAGTACTAGTACTACTAGCATTACTAGTACTAGTACTACTAGTAGTACTAGTACTACTAGTATTACTAGTACTAGTACTACTAGTATTACTAGTACTAGTACTACTAGTATTACTAGTACTAGTACTAGTATTACTAGTACTAGTACTAGTATTACTAGTACTAGTATTACTAGTACTAGTATTACTAGTACTAGTATTACTAGTACTAGTATTACTAGTACTAGTATTACTAGTACTACTAGTACTAGTATTACTAGTATTACTAGTACTACTAGTACTACTAGTACTACTAGTATTACTAGTACTACTAGTATTACTAGTACTACTAGTATTACTAGTACTACTAGTATTACTAGTACTACTAGTATTACTAGTACTACTAGTATTACTAGTATTACTAGTACTAGTATTACTAGTACTAGTATTACTAGTACTACTAGTATTACAGTACTACTAGTATTACTAGTACTACTAGTATTACTAGTACTACTAGTATTACTAGTACTACTAGTATATATACTAGTATTACTAGTATTACTAGTATACTATAGTATTACTAGTAACTAGTATACTAGTACTACAGTACTGTATTACTAGTACTACTAGTACTAGTATTACTAGTACTACTAGTACTAGTATTAAATAGTACTAACTAGTACTAGTATTTAACTAGTACTACTAGTACTACAGTATATACTAGTACTACTAGTACTAGTATTACTAGTACTACTAGTACTAGTATTACTAGTACTACTAGTACTAGTATTACTAGTACTACTAGTACTAGTATTACTAGTACTACTACTAGTACTAGTAACTAGTACTAGTACTACTAGTATTACTAGTACTACTAGTACTAGTACTACTAGTACTAGTACTACTACTAGTACTACTAGTATTAAATAGTACTACTAGTATACTAGTATACTAGTATACTAGTATACTAGTACACTAGTACTACTAGTATTACTAGTACTACTAGTATTACTAGTACTACTA